ATACTTATGGTATATTGTGGAGATATTGTGTGTGACTCCTGTTGTAAATCACATCAACCTTCTGCATTTTTAGAGCGGGAATTATAGCCAAGTAGGTGCTACATAAGTTTAGAGCGGGAAGCATTAAGGCAATTGGCAAGGGCACCATCAATCAAATTTTAAACAGTTCAGTGGAAATAGCACCACCTGAGTTATCAAATGCTTAATAGAGAAAACTAATTATGCTCCTCGTTTCAATCCAGGGCTTCAAAGCTTGTGTGGATTTAGTAAGCACCTCCCTACAAAGCAGCATGCGCACTAAATTACATAGCACAATTAGATGACGATCCAGAGGAATAACTAATGACCATGCATCGTTCAGATAGAAAATAATACAGAGACTCATTCATCTATGCGCCTGGCAAAAAACAATCAGGAAACCATGTAGGATAACCTCACTATTAGTAATATAGTCGAGCAAGGTTATGAATGGATCCATGGAGTAATAGGAATAGCCTCACATGAATCAGATTGCGTGAGGCTGGGGGAGCCTGGGAGATACATAAGGAACTCCAAATTTCGCCCAGCACTATAATTTGTATGACGGTAACATACATGCATGAAGAAAAATTAACATCCCCGCGAGGTAAATTTGAGAGATATAATTATGTATTAATGTAAGGGATTAGTTACCGGCTCAGGGGCTAAGTCATTGGTACCATCGAAGGAACAGTACTCCAGAACAACACCAAGATGTTGACGGATGGTGAATAACGTGCCCTAGTCCATGGGGTAGATCGATTACAATTGGGCCTCCCAACACCCTAGCTTCTGGCCTGAGCGGTGGATCGACCATTGACAAAATGGCAGGTTTCGCAGCGCGTCGCCGTTCAAGTTCATGGTGTTCCACGCGGTGCCGCGGCTCTGCTTAGGAAAGGAGTCAATGTACCTGCAGATGAATACGGCGATGGCCATCCTATGCAGGTTCTTCAGGTTCGAGCTTTTGTAGAGCCATGACGTCAAGTACTTATGATGAGTTGATGACCATCCTCTCCATGGCGCACACTGAAGGTCCGCATCTCCAGTTTGCATTTGTTCGGTGTAGAAGATGAAGATAATCTGCCATAGAAGACGAAGATAATCTGCCGTAGAATATAAAAGGAGGCGGTGTAGAAGACGAAGATAATCTGCCATAGAAGACGTCAAGACGAAGATAATCTGTCGTAGAATATAAAAGGAGGCATGGAAAATTAGTTGGTAGGGGCGTTAATTGGGGAGATGATGGAGATGTTCTGCCATATATAGAAGGATCCGTGCAAATCAACCGGTGGGGGACTGGGGGAGTTAATTAGGGAGAGATAAGGTCGCAGAAACGTTCAGCTTTGCCGGTGGGCCGCGTGGAGCATGGAGTAATTAGTGCGTGATTACCATAAAAAAACTCGCCGTTGTTTGAAACTGAGCACTGATGTGGCAAGTGTGATGATGTGGCTAGGCTGCATGTCAAGATAATTGGTTTAGTGGGGATCAACTATTTAGGTATTATAGATTTGTCCTGCCATTCATGTTTTATATTCAATCTATTTTTGTTGATGAGTTCTTGTTTCAGGTTTTGGTTCTCTGGGTTTGATGTCATCTGTTCTGGTAAGTCATGCTATTCCTTTTGCTTTTCTGTGGAATTTATGTTATTGTATTTGATCACTAACTAAACAGCACCTCTTCTACAGTTATCTTCTGATGGGAAGACATTAGAGGCAGAGGCTGCTCATGGGACTGTCACTAGACATTTCAGGTTACATGAGAAGGGACAGGAGACGAGTACCAATAGTATAGCTTCTATATTTGCTTGGACTCGTGGGCTAGAGCATAGGTAATCACAATAGTGTTGACGATGAAATTTACCCTTGAATTAGAAGATCTAGAATCTTCTTCTGCTTTTGTTTATAATCAGCTCAAGTGTTTTCACATTCTTCCCTGCCTATGTAGTAACCACTTATTCTCTGTTTAGAGCAAAGCTGGATAATAATGATAGGCTGCTGGATTTCACACATAAGCTTGAATCTGCATGTGTTGAAACAGTGGAATCTGGGAAAATGACAAAGGATCTTGCACTTCTTAGCCATGGCACCAAGTAAGCTGATTTATGTATATGTTTTCGGTTTTTGTGGTGTTTCAGAAACTTTTGGTTGATATCCTTGTGGTTACTCATTGATCTGGAAGCACAGTGATATTATTATTGTAAGCAACAACATATTATCTCAAACTGACAATAATAAAACAATGAAACAGCTAAAAAATACAGTAGCATTTTATTGAGGATAATTAGTGACTAAGGTAAACAGAAAATTCATTGCTGTTGCAATGGACCGAATATTCTTATAGGCACCAGAATTTTAACTGCTTAACAGTAGCACTTTCACTAGCTCATGAGAGTGGGTGGGGCAGATTACAGTGTTTATTCCCAGTTCCGAATGTGCAAGAAACAACAGTTCATCAAAAAAATTGCTCCCCTCTCTCAAACTTATTTTTAAAATCTTGGTGAATGTTCCTGAAACCTTTAGTCTTTTGTTTTGTACTCTCCCCATTCGTTTGTAAGTTTTTTTTGTTTGCAATCTTGTTCAAAACTATAAGGCGTGCATGCATCATTAGTGCTATTTTCTCTTTTTTTGCCCTTCCTTATTTTATTCTTTTTTCTGAAGTATTTATGCATGATTAACCACACAAATTGTTCTCTCTCATTCTTTTCAAAGCACTTTGTTGCAGGATAATTTAGTCAGAGTACCCTCCAAGCCTCCATGAAGTAAACAGTTGACTAAATTACCCTTATATTTAGTGCTTTGGAGAGATGAGTGAGAATAATTTGTGTCGTTTGTCATGCGTAAATGCTGAAGAAAAGGATGACATAAACAATGGCCAAAAGACAGGACATAATATTAACTATGAATCCACGCCTTACAATTTTCAATAAGATTATAGAAATTTCTTAAACCTACAGTTCTTTTGAAAGTACTAAATCTTGTGAGAAGTTTCGTAAAACCAGCTTCTTGCGCCACTCTTCCGGAAGAACCACACTATTTACTATGGAATGTAATTGATAGCACAGCCAGCTCATCACGCACACAATTATGAACGGCACTAGTGGAACTTCATAACAGGCCCGATCATGGATTTATCACTGTTCCTAGCCACGCCTGTTAATTCCATTGAAATCCTAAAATGTGGTTTTCTAGAACCATGACACAAATGTGATTTAGTTTTAGGTACTTCCCCCGTTCACAAATATAAGATGTTCTAACTTTTTTCTGAATCAGATGTATATAGACACGTTTTAGTGTGTTTGTTCACTCCTTTCAGTCTGTATGTAGTCCATATTGAAATATCGAAAACATCTTATATTTGTGAACAGAGGGTACTTATAAGCTAGAACGTTGTTCTTTGCTACTTTATCACAATGCGTAGTTTCAAGAAATTTACTCATCAAAAATGAACGAGGGAGTATATTGCATCATGGTCTTTCTGAGTTGTCTGGTACTTTATGTCAACAGGCCAATATGTCTTCAAATGCAAGAAATCACATTTATTTGTGGCAGTGTGTCAAATATCTTGCTGCCACTGTTTGCTGCTTCTGTTTGGCCTGTTGTGCTTCTTTCCTGCTGTTACACATTAACATGTCATTCTGTTTTCTCCGTATTGTTGTTGCTAGGGTAACAAGGGAGCATTATCTGAGCACCGAAGAATTCATTGATGCTGTAGCCCAGCAGCTGCGGGAAAAGATCCAGATACCAGCCTCGTTGTAATTTCCACCATGTGTATATGTTATTTCTGTGGAAGCCTCTGGAGTTGGGTGGACCAGGTTCAAATTCACTATGGCTGTGCACATTCGTCACGTATTTTGATTGAGATGATGAGATGGTGGATCCGATCCAGTTGCGTTGTCTGGAAGCAATTTTTGTAAGGCCTGAACTTCGTGTTAATAATCTGCTACTCCCTCCGTTCCCAAATAATTGTCTTTCTAGCCATCTCAAATGGATTACAACATGCGGATGTATGTAGACATGTTTTAGAATGTAGATTCACTCATTTTGCTCCGTATGTAGTCACTTGTTGAAATCTCTGAAAAGACAATTATTTGGGAACGGAGGGAGTATATGTGATCATATCCCTTGGGCGTTTGTTGGGTAAATAATGGTCCATAGGCTAAAGTTAAGACTTTGAATGGACTTCAATATATAGTAGTAGATTATTAGCCTTCTGTCCATGTCCCCTTTTATCACTTCTACATTGCTTTTTTCGTTTCTCACTTCTGATCGAAAATTTTGCGGTGGTGTGTTATGAAAAGTACTCCCTCCGTTTCATATTACTCGTTGCTGATTTAGTACAAATGGTTTATACTTGCATTGGTCCTACGTGCTCTTTTTTTTTTTTGCGCATAGTCCTACGTGCTCTTTGATTTGAAAATTTCTTGTATCTTCTGGAAACTAAAGAAGTCTCCTTCGCTGTAAAATTGTTCAAAAACATGTGAGTAGCAAACGGTGGTCGGCGGAGATTATCCAAGGAAGGTCATTATGCGTGGGCGTGGGTCCAGGGTGTGAAGGCGGTGGATTCGCAGTCGTCGCCGTCACGTCTCCGGTGAGGTCGCCTTCTTTTTTTTTTTTTTTTGAAACAAGGCAGGTCGCCTTCTACATTTAGGGCCTTCCGTGTGAAATTGGCAAGTCTCCTCGCCGTACAGCAAAAGTACGTACTAGTACTAAATACGCATTTGTGATCTGAGGCCTGACCGCGTATTTAGCCGCCTCCCCGGCTACAGAAACGAAACGGAGCAAGAGAAGAGAAAGAGAAGAGAGTCTCCCGTGTGGAGACGTGAGTGGAACGTGCCAGACTTGTCACGCCCACGCGGTCGTCGGCTGGAGACGCCTCACTGATTACGCGAGCCCAGCCCCGCCCCGCCCCACCAGCACAGCGCCCTCGCCGCCCGCCGCTCACCTGCCCTCCGGCTGTATAAATACAAGGCGCCCGTGGCCGAGATGGGTACCGCTTTTTCCTCCTCCTCCTCCTCTTCCACCCCAGAGTCCAGAGCTATGGCGCTCGCCAAGGCCAAGGAGATCGTCGCCTCCGCTCCCGTCGTCGTCTTCAGGTCTGTGTCTCTCACCCCTCTCCCCTCTCCCCTCTCCCCATCTCTCTCACCGATCGCCCCTGCCATGAGCAGACGCCGCTGAACTCGCCTTGCAAATTTTAGTCTGTGATAAGAACTGAGAAGGGGCTGTGGATGATGGAGAATAGATCCCACACTATTTCCGCATCTTATCCTTCGTCTTCTTTCCGCCATCCCTATGAGTAGAGCATATTCGTTGCTGTTTTTTATTCCCTGTTCTTTTTTAATTCTTTCCCGGTGGAGGAAGAAAGCTGACTGAAATATTTAATTACAAGAAAGTTTTGAATCTGTACCCAAATCCTATTGGCTTGTTTCAACTCTGGATGCGCTACGGCCGTGAAATTAAGGATCCTCCTGCAAGGGATTCAAAAGTTGTTAGGGGACTACGGGGATGTTTCCATGGATCTACTAGCCAGGTTTATCTTGCGTCTTAAATATTTGGTCCAACTACTACTGTTTGTACCTGTTCCGATGATGATGAGCTTAACTACTACTCCATCCGTTCCAAAGTAAATTAAGTGTCGTGGTTTTGGTTCAAGTTTTATGTTGCGTCCCAAATATTTGGTCCAACTACTACTGTTTGTACCTGTTCCGATCAAATATGTAGTAGTACTGTATTTGTAACGACATGTTTGATGCCCAATGCTACATGCCCTGTTAATTGACACAGGAACATCAAGCATGTAGTACGTAGTACTGTATTTGTAACGACATGTTTGATGCCCAATTCTACATGCCCTGTTGACGCTAACTCCGGTTCATTGATTTCTTTGGGCTATCTGCAGCAAGTCTTACTGCCCTTTCTGCGTACAAGTGAAGAAGTTGTTCACGCAGCTGGGAGCAAGTTTCAAGGCCATTGAGTTGGACACTGAAAGTAAGTAGAATTGTCCCGTCTCTTGGTTATTTATAAATTTCACTCAATTCACTTGAGTAGGCTGTATGCACTTAAGTTTCACGGCCATGAGCTCCCAACAATTTAGATATATGAATAATAACCTTAACTGTCCTGCATTCGGATGTTCCTGTGCACTGCTCCGTTGAAACAGTGTACACGCTGGGTTTAAGAGCTTAATGCAGGTTATTTCCCTGCATTTGGATTTCGCTGTGTGCTGTTTTGTTGAAATACTATACTTATTGGGTTTAAGAGCTTCATACAAGCTGTGGCCTGGAAAAGAATTTAATATGCCAGCACCATTTGTAGAACAATGATTTTGTAAGTAAGCAGTAAGCTCACTAAGTAATGATGTGGCTGTGATCTCAAATCTCTTAGGACCTTTGATGATTGGTTAGACAATAAAGAAGCAATTGAGTTTTCTGGCAACAAAGAAGAAGTAATTGAGGTCGCAAGGACCCAACTATGAATCACTATGCAATCTACGTGCTATCATCAGAGCCTCAGATTTGTTACTCTTTAGTGTTTACATGCTATGAGCAAAACATGTTTCTTTAGACTGTGCTCCCAGTCGTACTGCGCTACTACTCATCTACGCTCATGATAAAACATCAAGCATGTTCTAAGTTCTAATTGCATCATCTATTGGCTCTGCATTGGGATGATCGGCACAGGTCTTGGGAGAAACTCTTATTGAACTAATCCATGTTATCTTTTATGAAGGCGATGGAACTGAGATTCAGTCAGCTCTTGCTGAATGGACTGGGCAGAGGACTGTTCCCAATGTCTTCATCAATGGAAAACACATTGGTGGCTGTGACGGTGAGCTGATTTGCTCCCTACAACCTTGTTAAACTGATGATTGTAATTATGGTTCTATGAACAAGCAGCAAATTCCATTGTGCAAGCTTGCTTTCTTGCAATTGGATTACTTTCTGATAGTTACTCACATGTCAATGTCTTCTGTGGCAGATACTATTGCACTGAACAAGGGAGGGAAGCTGGTTGCTCTGCTGACGGAGGCTGGAGCGATCTCGGGTTCTTCTTCGAAGACCACTGTCACTGCTTAGCTCTGTTTGCGAGTTGTCGTGATCGACATGTTAGTGTGTTACATGTGTTGCATCGTTCCCGTGTCATGAAATAACGTAGTTGGATATGTTTGGCAAGTTCAGGGCTTGTTGCTGTCTAGTATTTCTGCAGTAAATGTCTTCGTGTAAAACTCGCTGGAAATAAATCAAATTATGTCGGCGATATCATCAAACCCCAAATGACTGTCGTTCTTTTGCATATATATACATGCCACTCTTTATTGCTTCCCCTGCTGGAAGAGAACCTTAGACGCTTAAGGTAGGATTCAGTTTCAGTCTAAGTCGTGCATCGCAGAATCTGCAGATCAATTTCTGGTGAAGGAAGCGTTTTCTACCGCCGGTGACCAAGCATTTTCAGGTACAGCTTGTACACCACCAGCTCCTCGTCTTCGTCCATTGGTGCCTTCGCTGAAGGCAGCTCGCCGTGCGGGAAGTCCTTTCTGAACCCGTACTCCTCCATCCACCACTCCGTCCGCGACACCCGCCTCACCGTCGCGTCGTCTTCCCTGTACAAGAACACGCGGCGGTACCCTATGTCCCCGCCATTGCCGTTCACGACGCGGCCTTCGCGCACCAGCACGTACGCCCCTGGCCCTGCCCTCCGCGGGCGCGCTTTGTCCTCGTCGTTCTCCTCGAGCTCGCGCCGGCGCCGGTGCACGGCGAAGAACCACTCGCTCCGGTCGTTGGCCGCCGGGAACGCCACCGTGAGCACCGCCGGGTGTGCGGCGAAGACGTCGGCCGTGGCATGCATTCTGCACCGCCGCGGGTCCCCCAGGTTGAGGCTGTCGAGGTAGAGCTGGACGAGCACCTGCGGCTTATTCATGTCTGGACGGTGCGAAGGCGAGGCGGGCTCGTGGACGCCGAGCATCGTATGGACGATCCCGCCACGCGCCGTGTATAGCTTGCAGACCACCATGTCGAAGGCGGCGGCGGCAGAGCGGCAGTCGCCGTACTCGTCCATGCGCCACTCGGTCTCCTTGGTCGAGGCCGAGCCGACCTCGGCCTCGTCCTCGTAGTAGCGGAAGGCGTGGCAGTAGGCGGCGCCACCGAGCAGCCTGGCCTCGCTGCCGAGGCGGTACGCGCCGGGGCCGGCCCTGCGCCGCCCGCCCTGGCATTGCGCCCGGCACACGAAGAAGAACCACTCGGACCGATCGTTCGCCGGCGGGTACACGGCGGCGAGGAAGCCGGGGTGCGCGCCGTAGACGTCGGCGTCGTGGATCTGCCGGGGCAGGCCGTCGCACCGCAGTGCGCGGCGCAGTGGCAGGTACCGGCCGACGATGACGTCCGGGGTCGGGTCGAACGCTTCGTCGGGGGAGGCGTTGACGGCGTCCGTCGCCGTGGCGCGCGGCGGGGGCCTGGGAGGCTTGCCCGATTTGGGCGGCGCCGGGGGCAGGACGATCCAGCCGTCCTCCGTCTCCTCCAGGTCGCGGAGGCCGGAGGAGGCCGCCATGGCCTCCGCCGGAGGCTTCTTCTTGGCCGGCGAGGGTTTAAGGGCGGGCCAGTACATGTTTGTGTGCCGCACGCTACCGTTCCGCGCGATGGATCGGTCGATCCTCCAAGGGTGCACGCAAGATCGTTTATGTCAACGCGAAGCGCGCGTTTGAGGTCCCCGAGGCCGACCACCCCAACGGGTGAACTTGACGTGGAGTTCGAGCGGGCCGGCCGAATCATGGATCGGAACGGAATCCGAAGCGAAACACGGCTGGACGCTGGGTAAATCTCGTCTTTTTTGCGGAAAAAATCTCGTTGCCAGTTTTTATTTTCAATTTAAAAGGAAAGCACCTGCCCTCTATTAGCGTTTAGTAACATGATAGACATGATTTTTAAAAGGATCCGTCTATATTACTCCCCGCGTTTCAAAATTCTTGTCTTAGATTCGTCTAGATACGAATGTATCTGATACTAAAAAAATGATTCGATACATCTGTATTTAGACAAATCTAAGACAAAAATTTTAAGACGGAAAAGTACATATAGATGTGAGATGTCGGCGTCATCTTATTTTTTTTATTGTTTGTCTTGTTTGTTTGATTTAATTTGTCAAAGCCCCCAAAAAACCCAGCTCGTCCAGCACGTCCGCCCGCGTGACCGGCCTTAACGTATATCTGATCGCTAGCTCTGCACAATGCATGTGCAATGGTGCGGCGTTGCTGAATCGGGGATGAACGTACGCGATGCCGTGCTGGATGTAGCTTATGGCTAATTTTTTTAAATAATACATTTTTTTATTAAATTTTAAAAATAATACATCAAAATTTTATTTTTCAAAAATAATACGGCCTCGTCCAGCTGGAGGACGATTGAACCCTATCGTCCTACTGCTGGACGACTGAGGCCAGTCGGCCTATAGGAGGACGACAGGTGGCCCGTACTCCACGTGGCGGTCGACGATTAGCCCGGCCACGTCGCAGCGCTTCCACTCGTCTGTGCACGGCCGTCGGTGGCTGAGGCCCAGACGACAGGGCCCGATCGTCCAGCCGCAGGACGATCGTCCAGAAGGAGGACGACAGGGTCCCAGGCCTCGCTCGCTCGGCTCCTTCCCTCGCGTGACCTTATCCCCTCCTGTTCTGTGTTCTTCTTTCTGTTCTTCTTACTTCTCTCTTCCAGCTGAAAAGTAACCCATTTATACTTTAAAGTGAGCCATTTTCTTCCCGATTTGCCACCGTAGATACATTGTAGATAGTTGGGGGAGGCAAGGGAGACCTCGATCTACTGATGGGGTAGCTCGTGATGGTCGTGGTGAGCATTTTTGTGGAGATGGTGGTGAGCAATTTTGTGGAGGTGGTGGAGGTGGAGATGAACTGGTGAAGCTGCGGCAGTGTGGTGGACGTGAAGCTCCGACTCCGGTGATTGAAGGCCGCCGTTCATCGGCGTTGCTTCGCACGCTTCAAGGGTATAATTTTACAGACATTTTCTCCGGTAGATGTGCAAATATTGTAGATGTTATTTGGTCCACTAATATTTTGTAGTAGGTGTCCGAATATTGGTATTTGCTCCGGCAGTACCGATATTTTTTTAGATGTCTAATATTTAGTTGTATGAATATATTTAGTTGCTCGAATAATATGGCGTATTATATGTGGATGTGGATGTCAGTTTTCCCGCAAAAAAAAGGATGTCAGTTGGTGCGTTACTATATGTACTATATATAGATGTCAAACATGTTGTTGTATCAATTTTTGAAGTTGTTCCGGTATTATCCGCAAAATAGTTAGTACTTAAATATTTTTAGGTGTGTGAATAATTTTAGTTGATCCATTAATATTACGTAATAATTTTAGGTGTGTCAATTAGGACTGTGAATATGTTTAGTTTGTCATGATGTTTAACAGCTGTCTGTCCATGTTAAATAATTTTATAGGTGAGCCGAGATGTCTGATGTAGTGACGTTCATATTTTTTTATGGTCCTGGTACTGTCCAAACAAATGAGATTGGGTTTGATCTGAGTGAATTTGAGAACATAGATGTGCCACTGACCGCACCTCAAACCTGGTCTCTTAGTCAGTTAAAAGAATGAGTGACATCATGTTTAGGGCTGAATTCTGAAACGCACACCATGGGTGTTCATGCATTGTGGACCCGGTCAAGTACAAACGTTTTATTCTATTTGAGGCCAATGCGGGACTCTCAGTGGGTGCGGTGGTTACAAGGTTGCGAAACCAGGGGATGCAATCCTTGTGCCTTAGTGCTTCCCGTTGTGAAGGAGATAATTTCACCTGAAGGCGAGGGTGCTTACAATCCTGGGCAAAGCAGTGATGTGATGCAGCACTCAATGCCAAATGTTGGAGATGATGGTTACAAACAAGGAAAGAGTAGTCAGGTACACGGAGGAAATGCCGACGATTATTACAGTGAGAAGGTGGACGGTGACGAGGTAGATGGGCACATGCAGAACCAGATGGAAGATGAGAATACTAATGTTGACATTGGTCATGCCGATGATTCCGACGAGTCTGATGAAGAGGAGAACCCAGAGGATGTGCCGAATCCTGCATCATGGAATCATGACTTCTCATCAGCAATGATCGTGAATGATGGACATGATTCTGCCTGGCAATATCACCAGAATAACATAGCGACGGGTGCTATGTATCCCAACAAGAACGCTCTCAAGGACGCAATCATTCAAGGCAATGTCCACACAAAGGGTTTTCCTAGCTCAGGTGTCAAGTCAGAAATACTTGACAATGGTATGCAAGAACGAAGATTGCCCCGCCAGGGTGCATGGCTATCTCCCTAAGTATGGCACAAGTTGGGTGATCAGTGACCTAGTTCATCACACATGTCTTATTCCCTGCATCCCTCAAGATCATGCCAACCTTTCGTCGACGCTTATTGCTCGGTTGCTTTACAGCGAGATAGTGGAGTGCAAAGCGATGGAAGTGAAGGCTATCCAGACAAAAGTATTCGTCAGGTTCAAATACATAATTTCATATGGCAAGGCTTGGAGGGCTAAGCATAGGGCGCTTGAGACCAGATTTGGTTCTTTTTTCGATGCATATGACTCTGTTGTGTGGCTCCTCCAAACGCTGCAGGCCCGCAATCCTGGCACCTATGTCGACATCCAAGACCTCTTCATGCCATAGTTCCCAACTGTGAGGGTGTTGCATCGATTGTTCTTCTCTTTCAGTGTATGCATCGAAGCCTTCAGGCATTGCTGACCGGTCATATGTGTAGATGGCACTTTTCTCACTGGCAAGTACAAGGGTCAGATCCTGATAGCCATTGGTCAAGACGGACAAAATCAAGTAGTAGCACTCGCTTTTGCATTTGTGGAGAGTGAGAACATTGAAAGTTGGACATGGTTCTTCAGGCAATTGAAAGTAGCAGTTGTGAAGGATAAGCCCAATGTCTGCATCCTTCATGACAGGCATGCAGGTATACTCAGTGCGATGAAGACACTAACAAACCCTTGTCCTGAGGAACAAACTCCATGGCAGGACTTGCAGAGCCGTTGGTGCATGCGCCATCTGGGGGCTAA